CTTCATCAGCATGACAATCATATGACAGTGCGGGACAGGGGATTTATAAGTACCATTATACAGAAAATGGCAACCACCCCAACCTATAACTAGCCTTTGCAGCAAGGTGCACATGGAAGGGCAATGCACATCGCAAACAAAGATTTCCCAGCACACTTACCAGCCAGCCTGCAAAACAACCGAATTGGCCCTAAAGGATTGTGTTAAAAACAGAGAATTTTGTTTGCACACATTTGTAAATATATGTATAAGCCGTAGTGCCCACAACAAGGGACCTCTGTATATACTGCGGTCCTAACTCTAACGTTTCCACAGCCTCCATAGTAGCACATAAAGATTAAAGGCAGGAGTGCCTGGAGGGAGCCCACCCCTCTTTAACCACTAGCCTACAGGGCACTTTTACCCCCTTCCTGCTCAGGCCAATTTCCAGCTTTCAGCACTGTTGCACTTTGAATGACAATTGCGCGGTCATGCAACACTGTACCCGTATGAAATTTCTATAATTTGTTTTGTGACAGAGCTTTATTTTGGTGGTATTTAATCACTCTGAGTTTATTTTTTCTTAAACAAACCAAAAACCACTGAAAATTGTGAAAGAAAAAAAGTTTCTTAGTTTTTGTTATAAACTTTTGTAAATAAGTGATTTTTCTCCTTCACTGATGTGCGCTAATGAGGCTGCAGTAATGGGCACTGGTGGGCATTGACAGGCATCACTGAAAGGCAGCACTCATATGGCACTGATAGGCGGCACTGACTGGCACTGTCAGGTGGCACTCATAGGCAGCACTGACAGGCACTGCTAGGTGGCACTGATGTACACTGATGGGCAGCTCAGATGGGCACTGATATGTGGCATTGATGTGCACTGGTAGGCATTGAAATGTAGCATTGATGTGGCACTGGCAGGTGGCATGGATGAGCACTGACAGGTGGCACTGCTGTGGCTACACTGATCCTCATAGCACACTGATCATCAGTGCCCTGATGATCAGTGTACATGTCCCCTCCGAGGAATGCCGATTACCGGCTCTCCTCACCTCTAGAGCTGTCAGTGACAGCTCGTGAGGAGAGAAAAATGCCGATAACTGGAATTTCCCTGTATACATGTGATCAGCTGTGATTGGACACAGCTGATCAGATGACCAAGCCGACATCTTCGGCTCTTTCCATTGATCGGTGATCCGCTGTGTCCGAGGGACACAGCGCACCGCCGATCGCCATGCACTCCCGGAACTGCGCATGCGCAGTTAGAATGGGAGGACGTCATATGACGTCCTCCCAGAACGAGAGAACCGCTTTGCACCCATCATTGTACTATATGGCGGGCGGGAGGCAGTTAAAGGCACAGGGACGCATGTGATGCCCAGTAAAAGCACAATGGCAGTGAAGGCATCCAGTACGTCCCTGCACCCAATTCAACCAACTGTACAAAAAATGGCAACCACCCCAGCCTATAACTAGCTTTTGCAGCAAGGTGCACATGGAAGGGCAATGCACATCACAAACACAAGATTTCACAGCACACTTACCAGCCAGCCTACAAAACAACCAAATTGTCCCATCTAACAGGTTGTGTTAAAAACAAAGGATTTTGTTTGCATACATTTGCAAATATATGTGTAACCCGCAGTGCCCACAACAAGGGAACTTTGTATAAACTGCAGTCCTAACTCTAAAATTTCCAAAGCATCCATAGTAGGAGCACATATAACAATGGATAAGGGGAGGTGTTCCTGGAGGGAGCCCATCCCTCCTTAAACCATACAATTAAGTGCCTGGTGGGCACAAAACGTCAATTCTTTCCTGTCATGTGATATCCACACTGAGTTTTATTAATACAGTCAATGAAGAGTGCAGCCATCTGGAATTGTGCTTTGTGTCTCAGGAGCGGCTGGCGAGCCGAGCTTGCACTTTTTGGTATACGGTATTTGTAGTGATCAAGACAGCGGGTAAGCAATAGTCTGGAGTGGTGTGAATTTCTTTTGTTTTTAGCTCTGGATAGATTGCAGAAGGGTTAGAACCTCTGTCAATATATGATTACTGCCCGTTTCCCCTTTTGGAGAATTTCTCCCCAGTTTTTAACTCATTTACAAGCATCGAACATAACAGGAGGGAAAATGTCCCCAGCCTCCTGTCATCCTGGAAATGGAAGGAGCAGCTGTAATCAAGTCAGGTTCTTTTTATAGTGGTGTCCATCACTCACAGCTTCCTAACAGGAGGGAGTAAGTAGAGTGAGACTCTAATCCGTGTGCTGCTCCTTCACCCCTGGTTCACATCTGTGTGGGTGGTGCCGCTGTGGATCCTGATAAAAATCCGTGCAGCTGCACCACCCGCACAGAGAAATCCGGACCCGCGGGCGGGTGCCATTAATTCTAATGGCATGCCACCCGCACTGGAAATAGCAACCGCGCTGGGAACAGAGGTTCCCGTGCAGGCTGCGTTTTCTGAAGGAGTGCAGGGATGTCTCTTACCTGCGTGTCCCGGGGCACGGGAGTCCATTCAAATGAATGGGCTTTCGTGCCCACGCAAAATGTGGCCCGCAGGAAAGCGGAGATGTGAACCTATCCTCATTGTCCAATCACAAGCTAGAGTGAGCACCTGACCAAGCTGCATTGCTCAACTAATCTAGTTTGCAGGAAAATCTCTGGAAAAATAGGGGTTAGATGTGCTGTCCGGATCTCAAAAATAACCACACAGAATAGCAAATGTTTTTTCAGGAAAAACAGTTCTTATAAAAAGCTATATAGATTTTATGCCATGATTTTAAAAATCCTGTGTATAGTTTGTAGTATATGTATGAGGGAGCCACACTTGTTCTGTGCAAACAGACCATATGGATTGCTCTGTAAGAGGTTTGTTCACATCACTTGAACAAAAAAAAAAAAAAAACCTTGATTTCTAGGTGCTCCTTTCACATGAAAATATATACTCCCAAATAAGTCAAAAGTGTCTCCTTTACACTATATGCAAAGAAAGCTCACAAATAAGTGCAATAAATTCATTCGAAAAATGTAAATACACAGAGAAAGTGTGAGTACACACACACACAAAAAATTCAAAACAAATGCATGTCTATCAAATGATGCACTGATTGGCATGTTCATGAGGGAAATAAGTATTTGATCCCCTTCACAAAACATGACTTAATACTTGGTGGCAAATCCCTTGTTGGCAATCACAGAGGTCAGACATTTCCTGGAGTTGGCCACCAGGTTTGCACACATCTCAGGAGGGATTTTGGGCCCATTCCTCTTGGCAGATCCTCTCCAAGTCATTAAGGTTTGGTGGCTAACGTTTGGCAACTCAAACTTTCAGCTCCCTCCACAGATTTTGAATCGGATTAAGGTCTGCAGACTGGGTAGGCCATTCCAGGACCTTAATGTGCTTCTTCTTGAGACACTCCTTTGTTGCCTTGGCCGTGTGTTGTGGTCATTGTCATACTGGAATACCCATCCACAACCGATTTTCAAATGCCCTGGCTGAGGGAAGAAGGTTCTCACCAAAGATTTGAGGGTACATTGCCCCGTCCATCGTCCCTTTGATGCGTGCAGTTGTCCTGTCCCTTTAGCACAGTGGTTCTTAACCTTCCTAATGCCGCGACCCTTTAATACAGTTCCTCATGTTGTGGTGACCCCCAACCATAAAATTATTTACCCAGTAATTATAATTCATGAAGTGTCGTTTTACCTCCAATACTGCTGCTTTCAAACACAGTAGCTGCTTTCAACACAGTAGCTGCTCTTTACACATCGGAAATATGTGTTTTCCGATGGTCTTAGGCGACCCCTGTGAAAGGGTCGTTCGACCCCCAGGTTGAGAACCACTGCTTTAGCAGAAAAACACCCCCAAAGCAGGATGTTTCCACCACCATGTTTGACAGTTGGGATGGTGTTCTTGGGGTAATAAGCAGCATTCTTCCTCCTCCAAACATGGCAAGTTGAGTTGATGCCAAAGAGCTGGATTTTGGTCTCATCTGACCACAACACTTTCAACCAGTCCTCCTCTGCATCATTCAGATGTTCAGTGGCAAACTTTAGACGGCCTGGACATGTGCTTTCTTGAGCAGAGGGACCTTGCGGGCACTGCAGGATTTCAATCCTTCTTGGCGTAGTGTGTTACCAATTGTTTTCTTGGTGACTTTGGTCCCAGCTGCCTGGAGATCATTGACAAGATCGTCACGTGTAGTTCTGGGATGATTCCTCACTGTTTTCATGATCATTGACACTCCACGAGGTGAGATCTTGCATGGTACACCAGACCTAGGGAGACTGACAGTTGTTTTGTGTTTCTTCCATTTGCGAATGATTGCACCAACTGTTGTCACCTTCTCACCAAGCTGCTTGGCTATAGTTTTGTAGGCCAATCCAGCCTTGTGTAGGTTTACAATCTTGTCCCTGACATCCTTGGACGGCTCTTTGGTCTTTGCCATGGTGGAATTTAGAATGTGATTGTTTGATTGCTCCTGTGGACAGATATCTTTTATACAGGTAACAAAATGAGATTAGCAGCACTCCCTGCTTCTAATCTCAGCTTGTTACCTGTATGAAAGACACCTGGTAGCCAGAAATCCTGCTGATTGATAGAGGATCAAATACTTATTTCCCTCATGTACATGCAAAGCAGTGCATAATTTGTTAGATATGTATTTCTTTTGAAGTTTTTTGTTGCTATTCTGTCTCTCAGTGTTACAATACACCTACCATTTGATTTTTAGACTGATCATTTCTTTGTGAGTGGGCAAACATTCAAAATCTGCAGGGGATCAAATACTTATTTCCTTCACTGGTCAACGCACAGTACAACACAGCACAATGCTTAAAATTGCATGCCAACGTGCATGTGTTTTCTGTGCATTTTTAGGTGCAGTGTGAACAAGCCCTTAAAGAGAAAGCCATTAACATAGTTGCATAGCTAGTCAGGTTGAAAAAAAAGACACAAGTCCAACAATAACATAAAAAAACATTTATTTTATACAGTTAAAATAAAAAAGATAAAAACAGCTAGGATGTGGAATCAGAAATTTCATCGAAGGTCTTCTCAATTAGTTTACGCATGCCACAGTAGGCTGGATTTTCTTCCATCAAGGTAAGTTCTTCTAAAACAGCATTGGGACTCTTCAACTTTCTCACTTTTTCCTGGAATGAAAAAGTTGGTTTGGTGGGGAGTTTCTGACAGGCTGAAATTTGTGCTAGCATTTCACTTTAACCCCTCGCCCTCCAGATGATTCACCCCCTTCATGGCCAGGCCATTTTTTGCGTTACGGCGCTGTGTTATTTTGACTGACAATTGTGCGGTTATGCATCACTGCACCCAATTGAAATTTACGTCCTTTTTTTTTCCACAATTTTTCTTTTCGCTATAAGCAAAAAAAGACTGACAATTTTGAGAAAAAAAGCAATATTTTGGACTTTTTGCTATTAAAACATGTCCAGTAAAAAAAATTTAAAAATCAAAATTTCATCATAAATGTCGACCAAAATGTATTCTGCGACATGTCTTTGCTAAAAAAAAAAAATCCCAATACATGTAAATTAATTGGTTTACGTGAAAGTTATAGCATTTACAAATGGTGGTAGAGATACTGGGATTTTTTTTTTCTACTAGTAATTGCGGCGATCAGCAACTTTTAGCGGGACTGTGGCGGACATTTTGACACTGGGGGGGAGAACTAACTTGGTGTCACCCCAGGACCAATAGACACCAATACAATGATCACTGCTAAAAAAAACAAAAACACTGACTGTACTAATGGCACTGGGCAGGAAGGGGATAATGTGAGGGGCAATTACAGGGTTAACTGTGTGCTGGGAGTGTTTTACCAGGGGGCGGGGTGTTCTTCACTGTAAGCACACTCATCGTGATGGCTATACTGTGCACATCCATCCCGAGCAGTGTGCTTGAGCTGAGAGGGAGGAAGATTGTTTGTAAACAAAACAATCTTCCTCACTGACGGAGATGCTCAGTAATTACCGGGCACCGGCGGGTAATTACCAGCCTGGGCCCAGTGATAGACATCCATGGCCGCGAATGGCGGGGCGCGCCCCCTACCCGGAAATGGAGAATCACGTATATATACATGATTCTGCGCACAGGTGCCGCCCTGTAGCAGTATATCTGCTATAGGGCGGTCCTTAAGCGGTAAAGATAAAAAACTGTAGTTGCCCCTCAAATATGCAAATAAAAACCACTTACTTGGAATGTAGAAGCCATAAAAGTAGCTTTCGGAAGCTGCAAGGAGTCAGAATTTGTGACATCACCCTGAAAGGGAACATAAATGAGTCAGCACATGCAATGAGCCTATATCAATGACAAACTACCCGCAGGAAATGCCGGCACACACCAAGCTTTCAGCATCCTCTGCTGCTTGCTGTTTTTTAGGGACTCAAGCCGCTCTTCTAAAGCCTTTGTAGACTCTTCTATGGCATATGATTTCTCCACAGCCTTTTCAACTTCACTCTAAAGAACAATAAATATCATTGAGATTACAGATTCTGATACTTCAAAGTTAGTCCTATGAAAGTAAACATTGATTCTAAACATTCATTATTTTTTTTTTTTAAATAACAAACATGTCATACTTACCTGCTCTGCGGAACTGAACAAAGCATACCCGATCCTCTGCTTCTTGGATACCCTGTCAGTGTTCTCTGCCCTCACCCCCCCCCCCCCCCCACCTAGTGCCTGCATAGCAAGCCGCTTGGGGGCATTGTGTGGGCTTGCACCTGAGGCGGCTATGATTAACATCAGTGGGAGCAAGGGGCTCCCACTGCTGTCACTGAGCAGATCAAGATCGGATTCAGGTGAGTTTAAGGGAGGGTGCTGCACTCAGGTTTTTACCTTCATGCATAGAATGAATGAAGGTAAAAAACTTCTGCCTTTACAACCACTTTAATGGTTTTATTTAACATTTTTTTTTAAAGATTTATAAAACAGATTCCCTTATGTTTAAAATGTTTATTTTACAAGCTAATTTGTAGTGTATATACTGTATAACACAATTTGCAGAACATGGTAGGCTGCATTAAATAAAGCCCAGCAAAAGCATTACCTAGGTGGATGCTGCATCGGTCCCCCACCGGCTCTAAGTGTGAGAACTCAGCAATCACATGACCTCTGATCGCTGAGTTCTCACAGCCATTCTGAGCAGACAGCGGTGACTGTCAGTCACCGCTGTCTGCTCTGCGGGAGGAGGGAGTGGCTGACTCACAGGTTGAGCCAGGTGCCGCTCCAGAATTTGGCGTGGATCCCAACTTTAAAGTCAGGATCTTTTCCCAGCTTGGATAGGTTGAGTGATTTCAGCCAACAGTGGGCTTCAGCCTGCTGTCAGCTGAAAACGAGTCACAGGAGTGCAGAACAAACTGCACTCCTGTAACCCACAGGAGAAGTAAAGCCTAAAGAGCTTTAACTGTACTTCTCCTTTAAGCTGGCCGCCGATAGATTTAAAAAAAAAAAAAAAAAAAATCAGCCAGTTCAGCAAGGACCAGACAAGTTCCTGCTCAAGAGTTTGATCCAACGATTGACTTCTCTGAAACAGCAATGTTGGAAAACTGTCCATTCGATCAACAGATGCAGCAGCCAGTCTGCTGCAGCACTGATCAATGGATTCTGACAGCAGAGGAGTCACTACTCTCAGAGTACAGAGCCTTCTGGCTGACCAAAAAAAAAAAAAAAAAAACCAACAATCCATCTATGGCCAGGTTTACTGGCTGTTCTTACAGAAAAATAATTTAGAATGTACAATCTCTAATAAGGGTGTGTCAATCCTCTGACTCAAAGAGCTGTGAAAATGTGGAATAGACTCCCTCAAGAGTTGGTTCTGGCCAGCTCAGTGGATTGCTTTAATAAAGTCCTGGATTCTTTCTTGGATACACAAAACATAACTTGATACTAACATTTATAGGTAAAGTTGATCCAGGGAATAGCCTCTCGGGGAATCAGGAAGGAATTTTTTCTCCCTGCAGGAGCAAATTGGATCATGCTTTGCTGTTTTTTTTTTTTTTTGCCTTCCTCTGGATCAACTGTGGGTGTAGGATTATAACTTTTTTTTTTTTTTATAATGGTTGAACTGCATGGACGTTTGTCTTTTTTCAGCCAGACTATGTAACTATGTATAAGTGTGCATTCACACTTGTGAATGCACTGTCTTTGCAAATAGCTGCAAGAACCTTAGTAGGGGTTCCTGCAATTAGCTGCGATTAGCCAGCCCCATTGAAGGCGATGGGAGTCTGCTGGCTCTCGCAGCTAATTGCACCCACCCGAATGTAATCGCTCATGCAGCGATCACATGCGAGTCATCTGCCATGGACACAGACTGCCTCTGTCCATGGCCGATCACTCGCATGTGACTGCAGCATGAGTCATTACATGTGAGTGGGTGCAATTAGCTGTGAGATTCAGTAGCCTTCTATTACCTTCAATGGGGCTACCTACTTGCAGCTAATTACAGGAACCCCCACTAAGGTTCATGCAGCTAAAAAAATTTAGCTCTGAATAGATTGGGAAAGAGTTAGAGACTTTTTTTTTTTTGGTTCACCTGTAAAATCCTTTTACACACTGTAATCACAGTTACATAGGTTACAAAAGTCCATCTAGTTCAACTATCCATATAGACAATAGTTACCCACAGTGAATCATGCAAGGCAAAAAACCCCCCAGTAAAGCATGATCTAATTTGCTCTAGCAAGGGTAAGCACATTCCTTCCTAAACCCTCCCAGGAGGCAATTGGATAGAATACCAATAGAATAAAATGGTGGTAGTAGCAATTTTATATGTTCCACAATTTGTTTTACTGCTAACTTTATATGTTCAGTAAAAAAATATTAAAATTAAACATTTATTGTTAAATATAAAAAGATGAAATTGCGTCGGGTACATAAGATATCAAATTTGACAACTATGAATGCGTCAAACTATGATATTCAAAATCATCCACAAACTAAGTTTTACACAGCTCATCAATTTAGGGTTAACGTTGAATGATGGCCCTAGAATTAATCCTCTGACTCAGGAAAGCATGGCAATACCCAACACATCATATTGTACAGGGGGCACTTTACTTTTTAAAACATTTTTTTTAATTTATTTATTTATTTTTTTTTTAAGTATTTTATCACTATCACAAGGGGGCTGATAAAGATCTCTAATGTCACCTCTGCACTCAATAAATAGATTGAACACAGAGTGCCTGGTCTGCTTTTTTAACTGCTTCCAGGTTTACAATACACAGGGGAGATCAGTGAATTAAAGATTTAGACTATCCCGTTGCTCACCTTCCCTATGTCTTTTTTTTTTTTTGGAGGTCCTGGGATCCCAAACGACATAGGTGTACCCCGAACACATGCCAGCGGTGAAGCTGGGGCAAGAGATGCACCATGTTAAAGATCTGGAAGTGCTATAAACCCTCCTAAATCACTGTTAGCAACAAACCTGCAGAAAAAAAAAATGTAATGGGCATAAACGGGATATCAACAAACTCATGGCCGCTATTTGTTTACATCCCATTTATAAATCTACAGGCATCTGACACTGTTATGCATTCTCAAATCCACACTTACATTTAGGTACTCCAACATCTCCTGGTTCTGTTCCAACGTGTGCTTTTCTTCTGCTAAGTTTTTTCTTACGTTTTTCAGCTTTTCCAGTTGAAACGATGGAAATTTCACTTTTTTATAGTGCTGCAGCAGCCTAAGGGGCATAATAGGAAGGCTGTTTCATTGTGTTCTTTTCTAGAGGCAGACAGTAAAAAACACGCTACTGGACATTTTTGTCAATCAACAAAAAAAAAAGTATTTGTTATAGCATATAACTTATGCCTTATTTTCAGAATTAAATTTTCTGCAGGACTTTACAAATGTGTCCTCTAGCAAATGCTTAGATATCAGGCTACGTCCCCGTGTTGAATAATTGCTGAGATAAAATTAAAATACCAGTACACTTAAAATTGACAGTGCCTTCTATCTCAAATTCATCCAAATTTCCACCTGGACAGGAATAGACCTGGGAATTATGACGGGGACATCTTGCTGTTAGGAGCATTCAAGACATAAAACAACCATATGCTGACTCAGTGGATCATGATCCACCTATTACTAAAATATCACCTTTGGATAGACCCTTAGAGTGGTTGTAAAGACCAAAGATTTTTTTAATAAACCTTCTGTGTGCAGCAGCCCCACCTAATACTTACCTGAGCCCCAAAGCGATGTGCACGAGAGTCAAGGCCCCCCCGGGGACTCTACCTCTTCATTGGCTGAAACAGCAGCAAGAGCCATTGGCTCCCATTGCTGTCAATTACAGCCAGTGAGCCAATGGGGAGAGAGGGGGTAGGGCCGAGCTGGGGCTGTGTGTGTGAATTGACAAGCAGAGCAGAGGTTTGGGAGCAAGCCTGCTTGGGTGCCCCTATAGCTTGTTCTGGGGGCAGGAGGGAGGGGCCAGGAGTGCCAATGGGTACCCAAGAAGAAGAGGATTGGAGCTGCTCTGTGCAAAACCACTGCACAGTGCCAGTAAGCATAATATGCTTGTTATTTTTTTTTTTAAATGCCTTTAATATCACTTTAAACTTCACTCAGATTTTATTTTTGGGATAAAAAGGAAGGAATTAAAAAGGATAAGTTCACCTTTTGGACAAAAATTAAAAAATGCAAATTTTTACAGGTAAAAAAATGTGCATTTATTATTTTTGTCCAAAGAAGCCTGGAAAGTATTGCCCCAGTGATCAGTAGATAGCTGATGCCATGCAGGTCTCCTGCAGACCTGTCAGAATATCTACTTGTCATACGGAACGTACAGTCAAGCACATATACTGACAAGAATCTTCAATGAACTTCCACAGCACCGTGGTAGTTCACTGAAAACTACAAGCCGGCAGCTGCTAAGGCTGTCAGGACTTGTAGGTGCTCATTTTCAGAATTCTATGAATAAGTGATGCGGCCGTGTGGGCAGCGCACCACACTGCATGGTTTTCAAATCTGACAGATAGTATGGGGAAACTTCTCCCCATACTATCTGTCAGAGAGGGGGGCAGCGGGCGCGGGCTGCAGCTGTGGGAACACGGATGGAACATGTGCAAAAGGTGAATTTATCCTTTAAAGTAGTACTGTGCCCTCCCATTATTAAACAAATTATGTGCTGCAGCACTTAATTGTAAGTGCATCTGCAGTCAGTTTTCTCTTAGTCACCTTACAAAGCCCCAAAAAAATCTACTGAGCCTCTACTGAAGTCCACCTAATGCTGTTTCCTGTAATGGTGTGGCAACTGTGCTGCATTGCTCCAGAATTCAGAGTTGTGTTGCCACTCTCATGTAAGCTGTGGCTGCTTGCACTACAGTGGGATAAAAAGGGGGTGGGGCTATCAGCATGGTCACTCCTGATTGGCATGTCTGTACTTGTCAATCAGCACCTGCACACACCCACTCCTGCCCGCTGCTTTCTAGATTGACAGCACTGTCTCTGTTGCTAAAACGCTCCCACTTTGAGCTGCAGTGTCTGGCAGGGTGAGAAAGTGAAACACGGAGGATTTGGCTTAGTTAAAGCAGGTCATTTACTTTATGAGGTTTGTGTATCACATAGTACCTGGATTTGGTACTTTTTTAGACTGTCATACAGGAGCCTTTAATTACACTTTAAAATTCTGTGTCAGCTCCTTACTTTTCTCTGTGACCCCATTACAGAAAACTTCCCTCTCTTCCTGTTCTGACAATAACAAGGTCAAGAAATGGGCTTGAGCTGTCATGTGTGCAGGAAGGACAGTAGAAACATTGTCATGGGTTCTAAGCCTGACGCTACTAAAAATGTGACTTTGTTTGTGTCCCCATTGGATGTTCCATTACTTCCTTTAGCAACAGGAAGTGTGGGAAAAAAACAAGGACAACATGGATAGGGATGGCAATAAAAACCAGACAGAGGTTTATAACACGTTCCTGCTCTACTCAAAGCGTACATTTTTGGCTGGAATTGGGGTTAAAGTACTGTATATAATAAGCTATAATAGTTTATTAAGGTATTATAGCTTATTACTTAAACAACACTTTAGTCTATTTAGTCTGTTTGAGCACTGACAGACTAAGAGAAAGCATCATTGAACAGAGAACACTTGGGGCCTGTTTACACAGCAGTGGACAGACACTAAACTGCAGCGGTTCAGTGTCCGGCAGCTGTCTGTTCCAGCTGCTGTGAGTCGGCGGTAGGGGACGATGTGGTGTGCATTTCAGCACATCACACAGCTCCCACCCTTTTTTTTTATTTTAAAGTTTATATGAAGTGCCCAAAAGTGACACTTCATGCAAGCCACTGTGCAGTAGTGCGCTACTGTACAGTGGATTATAATCCCATCCAGTGCACTGCAATTGAATGCAGCATGTTTGCATTTTTTTGCAGATCATTGCAGCACAGCTCTGGGCTGTGTTGCAGCGAGAATAGGACACACAGAAAACTGTCGCTTTCTGTGTGTCCTAGAGGTGACTTGCGTGGAAAAATGCTGATCAGCGCTCTGCGTGAAATGGGATTTAATCCAGAGCCTGTGTCATTGCAGGGATTCCCAACTCCTCCCATCCAAGCTTTCTGTAGTCCTCATGCTATACACATAAAAGACATCATCTCTAACTCAGAAAAGGCTAGTTACTGTCTGCATTTTATTGGAACCATAACCTGCATACAATTGCAGGTGTAAGAGGGGATGATATACAACACAGAAAGAGTGATAAAAAGCTGCAATCCCATCCAAACGCTCTCTGTACAGTACAGACTCTCTAGCAAGGGACAGTTTCTCAAAGTACAGTAAAGCAAGCAAGATTGCACCTATAGAGTCTTTAAGTACAATGAACATTACTAGATGGCTTACCTTTTCTTAAGACAAGCGAGTTCAGCGTGGACATTCTCAAAATCAACAATTCTTTTTGAGCTTAAGACTGACCTGTTAAAATACAAAAGAGAAAGCCATGAAAATTAGAAAGTGAACAGTAAAAAAAAGAAAAAACACAATCTCTTGGGGTATAAGAAAGGGATACGGAAGTCGGAAGAGTTTACGGTCTATCAGTTTTTAGGGGAGAAAAGGCTGAAAGTAGATGTTACAATCTATTAGGCAGGATACAAAAACCGGAAGATCTCACAATCTATTACAGTATAATGGATGATACAGAATGTTTCAGAGCCTACAATTTATTTATAGAAGATAGAATACAGAAGTTAGAAGAACTAACAGTCTATTAGGCTATAAGGGAGGAAGAGCTTGAAATCAATTAGAGAGGCTACAGAAGGCACTCAAGAAACTCAAGTGTTTGTTTAAATTGAACCAGTAACTAAACACTAAAATGTTCAGGATGGCTAGACAGTGCTTGGCTGTTAAACCATCCTCTCATGTCTATACCCCTTTGATGTAAACAGCAATACAGAATTACTTACAACTCAGCAGCATTCATCAAATTCTCCACATACTGCACTGTATCTGGTGAGATCGGCTTTTGAACTTTCTCTTTTGGTACTTTAACAGTTTTGCTCTCCCCTCTTTCAAGACCTGTGTGTGATACACATAAAATTAACACCACTAAGTATAACCTGTAGCTACAGTGGTGACTTCAAGGGTCACGTAACAAAAAAAAAAAACAAAAAGGCTTTATCTGCCTCAAGTCAGGACACTTTCACCCACTTCTGGTCTGGGACAATTTTCAGTTTGTTATACAATTTTTCAAAAAAGTACTTTTTCCTTATACATTTACGCCAGTTCTTCTCAATTATCTTCTGTCATGCCCCCCCTAGGAAGAAGAAACCATTTCGCGCGACTGTAAATAGTATCATTTGTCTATAAAATTGTTATAAGTAGGAATAGTGCCCCATCATTGGTGTCAGTGGGAGGAATAGTGCCCCATCATTGGTGTCAGTGGGAGGAATAGTGCCCCATCATTGGTGTCAGTGGGAGGAATAGTGCCCCATCATTGGTGTCAGCGGGAGGAATAGTGCCCCATCATTGGTGTCAGCGGGAGGAATAATGCCCCTTCATTGGTGTCAGCGGGAGGAATAGTGCCCCTCATTGGTGTCAGCGGGGAGGAATAGTGCCCCATCATTGGTGTCAGTGGGAGGAATAGTGCCCCATCATTGGTGTCAGTGGGAGGAATAGTGCCCCATCATTGGTGTCAGTGGGAGGAATAGTGCCCCATCATTGGTGTCAGTGGGAGGAATAGTGCCCCATCATTGGTGTCAGTGGGAGGAATAGTGCCCCATCATTGGTATCAGTGGGAGGAATAGTGCCCCATCATTAGGTGTCAGTGGGAGGAATAGTGCCCCATCATGGTGTCAGTGGGAGGAATAGTGCCCCATCATTGGTGTCAGTGGGAGGAATAGTGCCCCATCATTGGTGTCAGTGGGAGGAATAGTGCCCCATCATTGGTATCAGTGGGAGGAATAGTGCCCCATCATTGGTATCACTGGGAGGAATAGTGCCCCATCGTTGGTGTCAGTTGGAGGAATAATGCCCCATCATTAGTATCAGTGACACCAATGATGCGGCACTATTCCTCCCACTGACACCAATGACACTTGCTGACCCCTGTTGCAGTATGGTGCTGCTGCAGCCAGCATATGTGGTTGCAGCAGCACCTCTGCACTGCACACTTACCAGCTTTTCCCTCACTCGATTTTCGCGGGTCTGCTCGGCTCCGCCTCCTCGCCCGTGATTGGCCGCCTGTGTACCTTTCCTGAGCTACAGTTCTGGCGGCCAATCACCGGTGAGGAGGCGGAGCCAAGCGGCAGGAGTGAGGGAGTGGCCGGAGTGACGGAAGGAGCAGCGCTTCCTGGATGGATCATCGTGGGAGCCAGGTAAGAGACAGCAGCCCTCTGCCCACCCCTGTACGCGCCCCCCTTGACGGAGCCTCGCGCCCCCCCCCCCACTATTTGAGAAGCACTGATTTAGGCCAACATATATTATGCTACAAATTTATGCTACAAATAACTCAAAACATCGTATATTATTTAGTCTGTGTGAAAGTTAAAGTCTGCAAACTATGAAATATATATTTGAAAATTGAGCAGTCCTGACAGTTTCTTTGAGACTCTAAAATGCCAGGAGAGTACAAATACCCCCCAAATGCCCCCTTTTTGGAAAGCAGGCAGTCCAAGGTATTTAGTAAGAGGCATGGTGAGATTTTTTAAGTTGTAAGTCTTTTGTGACAGTTTTTTTAAAAATCAAGAAATACATAAATACACCCCCCCCCCCCCCCAAATTTTGCATTTTAACAAGCTATTTCTCGCAGCATAGCCATACCTGCAATTACACCCCAAAACACATTATGCTATGCCTCCTGAGTATGGGGAATACCACATGTATGGGACTTTTTCATCCTAGATTCATAGAAGGGTCCGAAATCCAAGGAGCACCTTCAGGCGTTCCAGGGGCATAAATTATGCATCTAATTACCTGGCTACCTATCACATTTTTGGAGGCCCTGAAGCGCCAGGACAGTGGAAACACACACAAAATGACCCAATTTTGAAAGCAAATGCTCCAAGATATTTTCTGAAAGGCATGTAGAGTCTTTCGAAAATGTAATTTTTTTTGCCACGTTTTTGGAAAATGTATGAAGGAAAATGAAAATTTATTTTTTTTATACAAGCTGTTAATATAATATTTCTAACAAACAGCATAGACATACTTAGAAATACACCTCTAACACATTCTGCTACTCTTCCTGAGTATGGCGATACCACATGTGAGACTTGTTCACAACCTAGCCACACAGAGGAGCCCAAAATCCAAGGAGCACCTTCAAGCTTTTTAGGGGCATAAATTATGCATCTAATTTCCTTACTACCTAGCACATTTTTGGAGGCCCTGAAGCACCAAGACTTTAGAAACACCCACAAAATGAAGCTATTTTGTAGAGTAAACACCCCAAGGATTTTTGATGAGGCATGGTGAGTCTTTTGAAGACTTAATTTTTTTGTCACAAGATTTTGTAAAATGCAGAAAGAAAATATAAAAAAAAATAAATACACAACGTTTTCAATTTTATAAAATATTTCTTGCACTTAGCATGGTCATACTTAGAATTAAACACCAAAACACATTCCGCTACTCCTTCTGAGTAAGGGGATACCACATATGTGAGCCTTTCACAATCTAGCCATACAAAGGGGCCCGACATCCAAGAAGCACCTTAAGGTGTTCTAGGGGCATAAATTACACATCTAATTTCCTGGCTATCAATCACATTGTGAGGCCCTGAAGAACCAGGACAACAATTGGGGAGACTGGCTCTGTTGACACTTGTGCTGGTATAGTGGTGATCAGGACACTGGTATGGGGTAATGGCAGTGATCAGGAAGCTGGTATGGCATATGACTGTGATCAGGACGCTGGTATGGCATATGACTTGTGAACGGGGAGCTAGTATGGCATATGACTTGTGATCAGGGCGTGGGTATGGCATATTACTTGTGATCAGGGCGTGGGTATGGCATATGACTTGTGATCAGGGCGTGGGTATGGCATATGATTGTGATCAGGGCGCTAGTATGGCATATGACTTGTGATCAGGGCACTGGTATGGGGTATGGCAGTGATCAGGGCGCTGGTATGGCATATGGCGGTGATCAAGACCCTGGTATGGGGTATGATGGTGATCAAGATGCTGGTATGGCGTTGATCAGGACGCTGGTATGGCGGTGATCAGTGCACTAGTATGGTGTATGGAGGTGAGCATGACACTGGTATGGGGATGATCAGGATGCTGGTATGAGGTATAGTGGTGTAACTGTGAGCAACGGTGACAGACAGGTGACAGGGGCTGGTTGCACTATTGATTAGTACTACACTACAGGGGCAGTGATCAGGAACAGTAGGGTTGAATGGCACTGCATGGTAAAGTGATTCATTGTGTCTGGGGAACACAGTGATCACCAGGCTCCCAGGTGTGCGCTCTGCGAACTGCGCACGAGCCTCCTTTGCGGGGCAACATACAGGCACAAGAACCCATACTTGCACTGCTCTCGTCCCACCGTTTATGTAAATTGGGCAGATGGGAATCCATAAGAAAATGCAGTTCAGATAATCCTTTTTAATTTATTTAAATTAAAGCAGCAAATAATAGGATTTTCCATTTACCTGTAAAATCCTTTTCTTGGAGTACATCACAGGACACAAGGTATCTTCATATCCATTTCGATAGGGTTATGCTGTCACCTTTGAGTGATTTAAAAAAAAAAAAAAAAAAAAAAACACACACAGGACTGTAAGTCACCGCTGTCTGCCTGTCTGCTCAGAGCGGCTGTGAGAACTCAGCGATCATGTGATCACTGAGTTCTCACCCTTAGAGTCGGCGGGGGACAGATGCAGCATTGGACCGGTATAATGGGGGGGGGGGGGGAAATTAAAAGTTATACTTCTCATTTAAGCAATATTTTAGTAAGATCAATTTCAATTCATGTTCACATATTTTGGGATTTTAAATATGTATTGTGATTTTTTAAGTGTGTGTTTTGAGTAAGTAGCAATTTTGCACAGTATTTACATAGCTCTGCTTGGTAGAAATGATTATATTATTTACAGGTGTTGATATATTTATGTTGAGGTATTTTATTTCAGTTGCATGGTAAATTCTAAATATAAAATTACTGGTTTTTCTATACACTAGTTTTAACACAGTAGGTGCATGGACTGGGGATTGATTTGTATTTTTAATTTTCATCTTCCCAGAATCCACATTTAAAAGTGAATTGAGGGATTTGCAAAAGTCTTGAGTCCACCTTATTTCTCAGAGCAAGATATGGGGTCAGACCTAAATATTCCAACCTCTAAATTGGGACTAAGGCTAACTTCTGCAAATTCAGAAGCCATCCAAACCTCTCCAGAGGGTGCACTTTGTGGGACAATAGGGTATTGTTCCCTCAGAAATAAGGAATACAGGTACACTATAACAGGAATACCCAGGGTACGCAGGAGGCCAGGACCTTGGTGAACACTCTGGGATCTGTGGACAAGCCAGACGGCAGGGCCAAAAACTGAAAGTGGCAGTCCTTCAAAGTGAACTGCAGAAACCTTTGGTGAGGTGTAAAGACTGGAACGTGAAGATAAGCATTCTTGATATCCACTGATGCCAGGAAATCTCCGTGTGGGAGAAAGGCCACCACAAACCACACTGATTCATTCCTGAAAGTCTACACTTGGAGAAACTTGTTGCTTCTCTTGAGATTCAGAATGCTGGGAATATTGCTATTTGGTTTCAGAACTTTGAAGATATTCAAATAGAAACCAATAATCCTTTCATCCACCAGAATGGTCTCTCCTTGAGATTAATGATTGAAAGCTCACTAGAGAGCAAACCTTTTTTGAAGAATTAAAGAAATGTTCTTTGAGCCACTATGTTGCAGACCCACACATCTACAATCTCTCCCTGACAAACCTCCATGAAGGCCTGCACATGTCCCA